TAATAATTATCTATACTCTCTCTCTCTTCTCTCTCTCTCTCTCTCTCTCTCTCTCTCTATATATATATATATATATATATATATATATAAAAATTATGGTAATAAAAATAATAACTCGTTCAAAAAAAAAAAAAAAGAATATTCAAAATTTTCATAAATAAAAACTATATGTATAATTTTAGAGACAATTCAAACAAAAGATTAAATATATAGCTCTAGAAGATATATTTTTAAATAATATAAAATGATTATGTGTGGTAATCAGAATAGATTAGAAAAAGAAATCGTATAAAAAAAACAAGGATTGATATTTTGTTGATAGGAATTCGTACACCGTTGGTCGAGTGCCATCGATAGAGTTTGATGGCAAGGACATGCGTTTACTGCGGCCATTGACTCGTAACGGGTTCATTCTATGGACCCTTGCTTGTTGCGGTTCGTTTAGGCTGCACAACTTTGGTCTGTTCGTACGTCACGGTTCTCGATGACCGTTGTATCCCAGTCCTACATTCGACATATAGTACATCGAACATTTTTCCTTTTTACGTCCACACGAGAAATCGTTGACAAGTTCATAATAACCGCAAATATTTAGAAATATTTAGCAAAGATTTATAAACAAATTCTAACCTAACCTAACCTAATTTTCTTTTTTTGCAAGAAAATCATTCATAGACACTTTGATATAAAATATTTTCAAAAATTGACGAGTATCTTGACGAGAAGAAACAAATTAACTATGAATATATGTAAAAATTGGTGAATAATTCATACGCAATGATCAATTAGAAATTAATATTTATAAAGATAGCGAATATTTGTATAGAAATAATTAGATAATAATAATAAACATTATCTTCATAATAAATATCGAAAATACGAAGTGAAGTCGATCGAAAAATGATACTTCGAATTGATGTAATAATCCATCCCAAGGTTGCTCAGTGAACAGTAATAAGTGGCGGTGTAATTCTAGAATATGTTATATGCGTAATTGCACGGCATTTCGAAAGCACTCATGTTCCCCGCATGTATTCGTTTATGAGAAACAGGTTAACTTTCTCTAACGAATTCAACCCTCTCAAGAAGAGAAATGAACAATAAAATTTTTAAAAACAATTTCTAGAAATTATAACATTTGAAAAATATGCATTTCATTGATTGATATTGTTGAATTGTAAATCGGTTTTCTAAACGTGCTACTTTTACAATAAATTATTTAATTTAGATAGAAAAGATAAAAAAAATATATATATATATTTCTTTAAGAAGAAATCTGTTTATATTTTTTTGAAAATATCTTTCTTTAGAAGAGATAAATAATTCAAACGTTTTCAGACATACATCCGACGGTGCTGCTGCTGCTATTTGCAAGCATAATCGCTAGTGTAGCAGCAACCTCTAGTTGTCCATGGGCGCAACACATAGCTGATCTCGAAAGTTCTTGCATCTGTGACTATAATCTGGCCAGAGAATTGTCCGTACAATGCGACATCGTCAATTATGAACAACTACTATCTGCTATACGGCATTACGTTTCGAAAACCACCATAGATCTATTTTACATAAACAACAGCACCATAGGGGCATTAAAGAACGATTCATTCGCATTCGTAAAAATCAACAACATGCAATTGTCCGGTTGTCAAATTAAAACGATCGAGCCAGAAGCATTCAAGGGACAAGAAAATTCTTTGAAGAGTCTCAATCTAAAGGACAACGAATTGACGGAGATTCCCAGTGCCACTTTGAAAACTTTGAGGAATCTTACTATATTAGATCTCTCGATGAACAAAATCACAAAGGTGAATGACAACACTTTCACAGGATTGAAATTGGTCACGTTGAAACTTTCCGATAACGAAGTAACTTTGTCACCTGGAGCGTTTCGAGGATTAGAGAGAACGTTGAAGAATTTGAACTTGAAAGGTACTAGACAAAAAAAGTTCCTGAAGCGCTAAGAGGTCTGAAGACATTGGCTTTTCTCGATTTATCGCAGAACAGTATCAGAGAATTGCCTGGATCTGCAGGCATGAAAGCTTTCGAAGGACTCGATTCGTTGACTGGATTGAACCTTGAGAGGAATTTGATTCAGAATATCGGGCCGGATGCCTTTTATGGAATTAAGAATACATTAAGCTCGTTAAGTTTGTTGAACAATCTTATTCCAGACTTTCCTATGGCTGCTATCAACAGTGTTCAAGACCTTAGGGTGAGTGAGCTCAAAAAAAAAAAGTTTGCGCGATAAAAATTTTTTATGATTAATTAATTTCAATTATATTTATTGTTATTCGGTAATTCTATTTGCTATTAATTTTTATTTTAATTTAGGTGCTCGATATCGGATTCAATTTGATAACAGAATTGCCAGTAAATGCTTTCCAAAAAAATCCATCCATAACTCTACTGGCAATCGATGGAAATCCTTTGTCAACTGTCCCAGAAGAGGCTCTAGCTCGATTGAATGGAACACTTCGAGGTTTGAGTTTGGGAGGTCGGTTCCTTATTTGCGATTGCAAATTACGATGGATCGTCGAATGGATAGAAACGAGAGATTTGCAAGTTACCAGTCGGGAACGCAAACCGCAATTCTGTGGAAGTCCGCAAAAATTGCAGGATAAAAGCTTTTACAATATCAGTCCAGGAGGTAATATTTTACAATTATCAGTGATAAAATATATATTTAGAATAATCGAAATTAATTTTTCTATTTTTTTAACTATGTTTCATCTAAATCAGAATTATTAGAAATTTTTTATATATATTACAAAAAAATTTTTTTTAGAAATGATCTGCGAAAATGCTCCAGAAATTGTAGGAATCGGCACGGTAGAAAGTGTGGACACAAAAGAACCTATTGCATCCGCTGGAATAGTTAATAGTTACAATCCAATTACTCGACCCTCGATCAATGTACCTACTATACATTACAATGTAACAACAACTACTACATCAACCACGACACTTGTATCTTCCACGATAGAATCTCAAAGAATTGAAACAACACCATCTTCAACCACTCCGAGAACGATCACTAACAGACCAACCGTTGCACGGACAGGAAATGTAGTGATAATGAGAACCACGTTATCTCCACCAAAACAAGTCCAAGATCAATTACAGCAACATCAACCAAGACCACCGTTGGTACTTGGTTCGCCGCTTTACAAATCGAAGTTAAACGACAAAGATATTATAGTTAAAGATGTGCTCAGACAAGATAATGCGGTGATTATATATTGGGATACAGAGGCGACTAATATTTTAGGTTTTAAAGTAATTTATAGATTGTTTGGGGACAACAGTTTTAAGCAGGCACCTCCTTTAGAGGCTAGCGAACGAGAATTCAAAATTAAGAACGTTCCTTCACAAGTAAAATACTTTTATTTGTAATTTTAATTAAGCACATGTTAAAATATAGATTTTTAAATATTTAAATTTTATTTTTTTAGGAATGTATTGTAGTTTGTGTGGTATCGTTAGAAGAAACAAACATCACTCCTGCAAATGTACCTTACAATCAATGTAAAGAAGTAAGAACAGAAAATTCGCCTACGTCTAATATGGATAAGATTACCATTGCTGCGAGTGCAGCCATATGTGCCACTATAGTGGTTGCCGTGATAATATTTATTGTTGCGAATCGACGAAGGGCCAGAAAACTTCACACCCTTCATAGTATTGATCAGACAAAAATGGGTGGACCTATTGCTGGATTACCGGTAAATTGTTGCTCCAATGTCGGTCCGACACCAAGCCCTGGTGGTCCGTTATCATCAATGGCAACTCTCAGTGCTTATAATGCTCAGAAAGAATGGGATCAAGTATCCGCGTATAGTAATAGAAGCATACCAAGACCAAGAATATTTCCCATAGACCGACAAGGTATCGACAATGAATAATATGAAAAATTTGTTTAAAGAATGCTGTTCACGAGCGCTTATTGCTCGCGAGATTGTGAACAGATATTTATTCAGGAAAGTTCCCTGAGATCCTTTCCTATTTTCATGGCCGTTAGTAGATCTGAACAAGGAATGATGCTTTGGAAGTACTGTTTTTGTGCGTTTTGACACGGCCGGATCTGAATCGATTCTCACAAAAATAGTACTAGAAGCGTTTGTTCAGGTCTAGTAGCGGCCATGAAAACAGGAAAGGATCTTCACAGGAAACTTAACCGAACAAATGTCTGTTTACAATCTCGCGAATAAATGTAAACAGAAGAAAAATATTATTTAAATTATTGCAATAATTTATAGATATTTAAAAAATTCTTTTTTAGGTTCGATAACTAGAGCTTCCTGTATCGATGATGTTAGATCTCAAACAGGACATTATAGTGGAAAAGTATCGACTCGTTCTATAGTCGATGGTCAATCTCAGCACAGTTTTTCTAACACATCAACAAGATATTTCGGAAATAATACTCTATCTTCCAATCTTGCTAATACAAGATCAGGTAAGACTTCTTGTTCAAATTATCTGATAAATCAAAAAAGATTTTTTTATCATTGTTTAATCTTATTTCTTGCAGAATTGAGACAATCTCGACAATCTTTAGCAGCAGCTTCTGATAGAATATCGCGAACAAATTTTTCACCCAGTCATATGCCACCACATTCTTCGTCCAGAAGGCAAAGACCAAGATCGTGTAATCGTACTTTAGAGCAAAATCCACCAAGACCCGGTAGCAGATATAGCATAGCCGATTCGACACATACTCTTAATAATTACGAAGAGAATAATTGGACTGATCATGATATGGATATATATATGGCACGCAATCCAACCACAAGGACTGGTCTCATGCCTCTTTGATTCAATACTCTGTGTGTGTATGATTTTGCTCAAACGTGTTCAGTGAACGTGTTCAATTTTTTTCCAGAACATCTGAACTGCTCTTATTCATGTAATTGTATTATATAGCGTGAAATTTTAAAAGATTCGAAGAACGAAGTTCAACCGTTAACCAGAAATATTTGTTAAAATAAAAATCTAAGATTTACGTCGTTACAAGTATTACTGTGTAATACATGTATTGACATAGTATGAAGAAGAACATTAAAATATAGCTTTAAGATAATTGATATTGAAAAAGTGTTTAAAGATACACATTTAAATACATATACTGTGTGTGCTTGAACAAAAAATTCAAATAGTTTCAGTACACGATCTCTCAAAAAAAATAATAAGAATAAATGAGTCAAATTTAATATGTATGAATGATGGATGAGTTTTTATCCAAAGACTGTATCATAAAACAGTATCTATCAAGATCTGTATTGTGTTTAATATTTTATGTTTGGTTGATGCATGTTTACAAGAAACTGTACTGATCTTAAAATATTCTATGACATGTGATATGTTTTGGAAATGAGAGATTTTTTTCACTAAAGACATAATATTATTTTATATAAATTTTTAAGTAACGATAATTTTATATTTCAACATTAGAAAAAAAAAATAAATATACATACAAAAAAAATATATACTCCTTTAATACTAACAAATTAGAATTAATAAATTTTAATTATTAATAAATTGATAAAAAATTAATAATAAAAAATGATTAATAATTTCTCATTTCTTGATTATATCACATTTTTTAAAATTAATAATAGATAATAATATTTTAAAATAAGGATTCACATATTTTATTTTCTACCATGCAATTAATTAATAAAATACTGTGCAAATACTTACCCAGATATAAGAATATTCCTTCCCATCGAAATCTAATTTCTTGGACGAATTCGTACCATAATTGTGCTAATGCTGCTGCTCCTCCGAGATTATGCGTACAATGCGCTGCAACGACTGCAAGACGCCACACTAAACTATCCATTGCACATGTTTTTACACCTTTTCCCTGATCTTCATCCACATTAAATATAGTCAAGTCACCATAGGGAGTTTTCTATAACATTAATGAGTTTAATTATCTCTACAATTATATTATTTTTTTAATCAAAATACAATAGTTTTTAGAAAATAATAGAAATAAAATATCGTATTTTGTTCATGTTCTCTTAATAAATTGAGAGAAAATTCTACAAAAATTTCATTGAAAAAATATGATATCCTGAAATTATGACATTAAAAAAATTATTACTTACAGAATTTTCTTCTGCATCAGGAAAGAGAAAATAAAGTATTGACAATAGTATTTCTTCTGGTATTGGTCCTTCTATATCTTTATTCTTCTTTGTAGTTGCTTTACTAACAACTGTTGAAATTGTTGGTATTTTAGATTCTGTTAATATGTTAAAAACCGAACTGAATGCTTGATCTTCTTGTTGAGCATAAATAACAGCATCACCCAATAAATCTATTATAGTTTTTTGATTATTACAAAGATGTAAAAAATCTGTTAAATATTCTCCAAGTAAACAGACTGGTGAAGAAACCATTTTCACTTGTACAGACCATTCAAGGGCAAACTGTGGTTCTAAATCTGTAAAACCTTCACTATCGACAACTACATTCTCCGACATTTCAGGCCATGTGGCAAATAAGTGAAGTTCCCTATAATAATTTAATTAAATCAATTCTTCAAAAATTTATGTATTTTAATTGCTTTGCTTTATATAAAAATAATATAAAAATCTTACGCAATTGGATCATATGTTGCTCCAAATGGAAGTTTTCCAAGTTCAGCTACACCTAATGTTTCTCCTTGCATGAAATCAAAATCTGGAGGCTCTTGAGTCCATGTGCTATTAGTCCAATCTTTCAACAAATATGAAAACCTTACAGATATCATCACAGGATCAAGTCTTGTTCCACAACCTTCTCCAACTTTCTGTTTGAATAAAGCAAGTAAACCTAAAAATAACATTTGTTAAGAAATTGTTATATATTACTGAAAAAATAATATGATTCAAATTATATACAAATTTGCATAAACTAATATAATTACTTCTATACTTTTGTGTTAAAAACTGTATTCGTACCAGTTAGGTACTTGCAGTGCAAAGGTACTTTTTTTAAGTGTACCATATCAAAGTGAGTGCAAATTCCTTTTCCAATACTTGTTCCAAGATACATTTTTTGCCATGGTTCTTGTACTTGTACTAATGCAGGTATATCACTAAAATAATAAATGTTATATTAATAATTAATCTATTTATAATTCTCCTTATCATATAATGTGGTAATAATATAATTTCAAATAATTTTTTTAATTACCAATTGGCATTAGTTGCTGCAATTGCAAGAGAACTAAGTAAAATTCTAATTTTAGTTTCATCCATCACAGAATCTTTTTTAGAGGATTGTAAAACAAGAAATTCTCTAATGCCATAATAGCGAGCTATTTCTAAATGATTTCCATCAATTCTAGTAAAATCATTTGATGCATTTAATGCATCCTTATGACATTGTATTTTTTCTTCATCGCTTTCTTCTAAAGGATTATCTGTATCTTTATCTTCCAATTTCAATTTGAAATGTTTCAATGTAAATTCTGCATCTGTAATAAAAATAAAACATCTGTTTTTATTATATATCGCCATTTAAATGAAAAGAAAAAGTCTATATGAAATATATTTTATTTGAATTCTAATAAAATTAAAATATTAATATTTTATATTAATATTTTAATTTCATATTAACAAACCAGCAAAATGAAGTTTTTCCGAATTTTCGTTCCATTGATAGTTGACAAAATCTCCGGATTTTAAGCATGGACCGATTTTTGTATTTGGTAATTTCCATTCGTGCATAATTTCTTCCAATCTTGCAATAAACACTTCCCATTCTGAAGCTGTCGTAAAGTCATGGTGATAAAAGTCTTCAATTTCAAAGTTATTCATTTTTTAAAATATACAATAATTTTGAAAATGTTATTTATACGAATTAATAGATTCGTTTAAGGTTAAATGCTTGACGTTTATTCGTTATCAATTGAGTAGTTGTTTATAAAGTATAAATATAGAGTGCACAATGATATTTTTCTAAATAAGAATTACTATTTAATGTATTCAAAACAATTATTATAATACAATGAAAATAATATCAACTTATGAGATTGTTTTAATAAAAATAAATTTAAATATGATGTTATTAAGTTAAATTTATTTAGACATCTTGCTAATATGCGAATATAAATGTTACTTATAAATGTTATTATAACTTATATGTTATTCATATAATACAAACAACCAAATATTGAATTTCATAAAAATTTAAAAAAAATCAGAATATTTTATTATCAAAATCATATGAGAGTTTTAAAGCGTTTCTTATTTTTATTTCTCTTTCACCGGTTTTCAATTATTAATCAAATATTAAAATCGTCTCTTGAGTTATCTCAAAATATATTTTATAGAACAAGCATAAACAAGAAGAGTAAATACGAAGGTCAGAAGGACAAAGATAGATTAAAAATTGTGGAATCAGCGTCATCTAGAGTGCTACAAATGAAATACGTATATATACAAAGAGATCAAATAAAAGAAAGTAGAGATAATAAGTTGACGACTGTCAGTACTATCTCTTGGATTCGAAAGATATCTTTTTAAAGACAGGATAAGATAGAACAAGAATTAAAAGCGCCATCTCTTGAAAAAAAAATAGTTCATTTCCAAAAAAATAATTCTTTGAAGAATTGTCTTCAACACTTGAAAGATGACGTTGACATCATTTTATTTCTTATTCTATTTCTATTCTTTTTCTAATATTTGTTTTTGTTTATATTAGTTTCATCCGTGACAGAGAGATGGCGTTGATTCTTTAATTTTTATCTTATTTTTATTTTCCCATTATTCTTTCTTCTTATCAATACTTTTGACGTGTGATTACAAACAGAATATCAATTAATCATCACTTTCATTACTTTTCTTTCAAAATTTCATGACTTAATTTTTAATTGAAAAAATATAAATATTACATTCTAAGTCAGATTAATAACATTAAAAAATAGTAAAAGAATTTTATTATTTTTATGACATGAAACAAAAAATACGTTAATATTAGATTTATTTTGTATTTTATCTGTGAAAATATAAAATTGTTTTGAAAAATTCTTTGTTTTTTTATCACGAATTAAATTTGAATGAATAAAAATAGCTGAAAATTATTATTATTAATTTTTATTATTATTTTTATTATATAATAATATACTTGAATTACTTAAATCTCTTTTTTAATCATAAAATTTTTATGATTATTAATGATTTATCATTTATTTTAATATTAATTTAATTATTTTATTATTATTTTATTATTATTTTAATTAAAGAATTTAGATAAATATATAAAAACACTTAACATATTAACATAAAGATATTTTATTTTAAAATTATTTAAATTTATCTAATCGTTTAATTATTAGTTAAGTTTATTATTATATTGCTTTGTTTGTCTATTATGTTTGTGTTACATATAATTTAATTCAATTAATATAAAATCATATTATATTAATATAAGAGATAATTTTAATTTATATAGTCCGAATTAATATAAATGTCAATAATGAGTTAATAATATTTTTTACATACAAGTAATTATAAAAACAGGATCATAAATATATTCTTAGTTTTATAAGGTAATATAAATTTTATAAAAAATTAAATTTTTAATAAAAAAGAAATTATTCTCTAATTTTTATATAAAAAATAAGAAATTAATAAATGTATTATAAATATGAATTTCATATTTCATTAATACAAAGAAAAATGAAGGGAAGTGCACGATACTGTTGCAACGGATATGAACACTGGTGTAGACCACAAAATTTATTTATGATATAATGTCATTCTTACCTTACATATTATATAAATACAAGTATTAAACATTCCTAATTTTTATTCAAATTAATTCGGTATAAATAAATAATTTACAAATTCTGAAAAAAAAAATATTTTTCAAGAATATATATATAATTATGAATTTCTAGTATAATATTATAAAAATAGTACTCAATTGTTTTTCTTCTATAATCATACTTTAAAGATTATCAATTTTCATATCAACGTTTATATATATTCGAATTATACATATTACAATAATTCGTATATTTATATTTTTTTATTTTTTAAGCAGAGTCGACGCTAATGCAATGTCTCGTTTCGAGGGTTTCGACATGATGCATTAACATATGGCATATAGTATGGATGATATTAACACGCCGTGCGGTTGTGTTAAACGGAATTCGTATTTGTTTTCAATACTTTCCCGTGATCCTGATACGCGAAATTAAAACAAATGTTTCCAAAACAAAGTAACTTAAGGAAAATATCATTTGTGATCGAATATGCCCGATATTGGATTTTTAAACGTATTCATAGTGATGACATAATTACTACATTTCACATAATATAATGCAGTAAATTTTCATATTTATAAAAATTCATTTGCGTAAAAACTTAGTTATATAAGTATGAAAAACTGTGATAACATGTACTATATATATATATATATATATATATTATAGTTCTACAATTCTACGTTTTGTAAAATTATAATATATAAATCTACTATTTACAATAATTTTATAACGAAATTATCGATAATATAACATAAATATATCAATTTGATATTGATGTAATGTTTCAATTATACATATATAATTAATATTAAATTATAATTAATTTTTATTATATATAATATAATATTCAATAGTTATAAACGATTGTAACGAAATTATTTGTATAATTTGAAAATAAGATTGAAATCGATATTAAATTATAATAAAGTATTATTAAAAACTAGAATCACTTAAAGAGAAAGAAAGAGAGAGAAGAAGAGAATAACAAATCATCATGCGTACGTCATGCAAGTTCCCGCGCTTCGATAGAAATAAGTCAGCTGATTGTAAATTCAATCAAACGGGAGGATACGTAAAAATGTAACGGGTAAGTTGCGTGTATCAATTGTAGAAATGACGATCGACGGTCGACAGACGGCGCCACTCTCGCTATTGCAGACAGAACTGCAGTCGCGCACGTGTATCCGTTGAGTGAACGCCACGCGGTCAGAGCCGGTGATTATCTGTGTGCGTGTTTCTTCCCTCTTCTTTGCCGTTTTCACACGTGCATCAGGCGTGTATCGTTCTCGGTATGCTCGTACCGTTCAGTACTTTTTCAGCTGTTAACAAGAAAGTGTGTGACGAACAGTAATTTCGGGAATAAGAAAAAAGCACGATGCCGGATAAAGTTGCACCGGCCGAGAAACAGATCTTAAAGATCGCGAAAACCATCAACAGTGACAACAAAACAGTGAAACTCAAAAAAGAACTCGGTCTATTAGACGGTGTAGCAATTATCGTCGGCATCATCGTCGGCGCCGGAATCTTGTTTCGCCAAAGGGTGTATTAGAAAATAGCGGTAGTGTTGGCCAGGCTTTAATCGTTTGGATTTTTTCTGGTGTTTTGTCTCTGATCGGTGCATTATGCTATGCCGAACTAGGTAAGTATTAAAAATCGATTAGATGTTTTTAATTACAAATATCATTAATTTTAATTTAAAATTTTCACGCGGTTGTGTACGCGTTATTTACATATACAGGATTATCTTAAATATAAAATCACAATTGATCGATGAATTATATATTTCAGAAAAAATAAATTATATATAAATTATGTTTTTTTTCAATGAAAATATAATTCGTACAAAAGAAAGAAATTTATTCATTGAGAATAAAAAAAAATTACTTTGAAAAATTAGAATGTAAATTATAAAAGTAAAATATATGAAAATCGATATCAAAATAAATTATGTGTTATTTACAGTATTATTTACATCATGGGAATTGCAAATTAGATTACGCGAGTAATCTGCTATAAAAAAATTGACTTATCGATATTTATCATTCTACAGTTTATTTTGTTCTAAATTGTTCTCTCATTTTATATAAATATTTATCTTATAACTTTTCTTAAAAAATAAATAATGAACTACTATGAAAAATGTACAGTTTATCATTGTCTTCATATTTTTATTTATGTGTTCGCAATTCTATGCGTCTGTAGACAGATCTTTCGATTCTTGCATCACCTTTCGCTCTAGCCAATTGACTTAGAAAGTAGTTACTAGTAGATACTACTAGCATTTATAGTTTGCTCCAATTGTTTGCTCCAAATTAAGCAAAAAATGATTAAATTATCTTTAAGATCAATTAAACTAAATTTTAATCTATAATAAAATACAATTTTTATAAAATAAATTAAAATAAATGTACAAATTAAATAGTTAAATTTAAATTAATGTAAATACAATGTAGATATTATATTTATTTGTAATTGTATGTAATATTTCCATATTTTATTATTAATCCCAATTATCCATTACATTTAAGATTATTTATTCTTGTAATAATTTAAAAATATTTACATATAATGTATCGTAAAAAAATAGTTTAAATAATAAAATAATAATATTCAAAATTATTATGCAAAATATCGAGCTCCTGTATATTTCAAGCATTGCATTTCGTTTCGTTGAAATTAATGTACATAGATAAACTTTTAAGTTTTTCACTTATTAAAAAAAACATTAACAATACAACATTTTTTATCTTTTTATGTGTATTGAATATCTTATTGACGTTCTATGACGTTATATATATTTAGTACATTTACAGAATAATTGATGATTTCAACAAAAATTATAGAGAATTTTATCGATTGAATTTTAATATTATTTTTTACATTTAATTACATTTAATAAATCTTTATAAAGATATCAGATTCAATTACTTTTATGTAAATAACAATATTTTGTCAAATTACGATTTTATATCATATTATTTTCAATTTCATAGAAATAATTTAAACATATAGAGGAAATATTAAATTCATATTTTTTAATTCGATATTATTGCTTGAAATTATGCATCGAACGTTTCCAATTTCATCAATAGAAAGATTAATGTATCACATGAGAATGGCAAATATTATCTTTTAAGATAAATAG